CCCACGACGTGTGCGCACGATTCGTCGATTCATCTGGCCCAAAACTGATTTTCATTGCGGCGTGCCAGCCGACTGTTGTTTACCATTCGTTCGAATTACTGTTTGTAATCTCGATTTAGATATTCATCGCGTTGGGTACGTGGAAATTTATTCAAATAGATAACGATGTTCGCTAGGAGTAATTAATACTAAATTGTTATGCGGGAATGTGAAACAAAAGAGAATTTCTGTAAAAATTGGCGTTGTTTTATTTTTAAAACTAATTTCTGGATAACAATGTAGTTTGAATTAGGGCTGGTGTCTCCTTAAATTTTCCAGAGACTAAATTGATATTTTATTTGGATCTTCTCAATCTGAATCTTTATACGTTTATTATTAAACGATTGAAGATGAAGCATTAAATAAACCAGTGTACTTGAAGAATACGATTTTAATTCTTACTTCAGTTTTAAATCATTATTCAAACCAACTTTCTAATTTAAAATTAGAACTTAATTTTGAAGTATTCCTTATATTAGTGGAATTTCTATTAATAATCGTTGAGTATTGCGTGAGAATTTTTTAAAATAATTCGATTATGCATGAATGTCAACAAGCATGTTACTCAGAGTCGTTTAAAATGTACATAAATAATTTCTGATGGGATTAAGATAGAATTGTAGTAATCTTTTCTTTTCATTAAATCCTTCATTAAATTAATTTCATATTAAAATTTTTATACGGTGTCTATCGTTCCTCTGAAGCTCACCAAAATTGTAATCATTTGAAAAATTATCCAATATATAGTATGTATGTAATTTGGTAGTCGGACCGAGCACTCTGTTTCTATGGACCATTGTACTCGGATTTAATTAAAATATTTTCAAAACAATACGATAAATAGTATATCGAAAATTACCTTTTATACGCAGTAACAAAATAATAAATGGATAATATACCAAATAAAGCGATTTATTAAACTAGATCTGACAATAATTTAAGATAAATCGCTTATAATTATCAATAGTTACTGCGAATTTAAATTTGCACGTAATAAAAGGTATAATCACGAGTGATAAAAGGAAATAAATACCTTCTAACAATACTCATTCCCCTGACAGGAGAACAAATGGAATAGAAATGGAAGAAACGGTGGTCGATCGAGTCGAGAGTTGCAAATAATTTCGCAAAAGCGTGGGAAAGAGAAGAACGAGGAAGAATAAGTTGGAGTGAAAAATCGTGAACAATGTTTTCTCGTTAAAAACGAACGAAACAGTTCCCGGGGTGAGAGAAGCCGCTTCTTTTTTTGCTCCTAGATCGGGAATTAACGTGCAGCTCTCGGTCATTGTTTCGCATTCTCCTCAGCTCGCAACAGTGCCATTTTTGCGTAATCCGGTGAAAGCTGCATTCACCTCGAGTCTCCTCTAATTTCCACAGGGCCGATCTACTTCCTTCGATTCACATTTACGCGCAATTTTACCTAAAGAAGTTGCAGAGTGTACTTCTCGAAGCTTGGAATTGCTCGAGACAGTAGGATAGTACCAAATATGGACTAACATTTATTTTTCTATCAACTCAATTGTTAGTAGTACATTGTTCGTTATTCGTGAGAACGGACTATGAATATTAATTATTTTTCATTAACTTCTTAGATTTTCAATTATTATATTTGACATGAAGTTCTACCGGACTCAATGTATACAATTAAATCCAATAAATATAACGTATATGATATGGAAACATTTTCTTTGTACATTTGTTATTTTGTATTTTGTGAGGTGTAACATTTTATTTATAATTCTTTATATTTTATTTCAGAAATATTTTTTCCAATTTTACGTGTCACATTTCTAGTCTAGAAATTTGAGAAAATAAAATAATAATTAATCTTGAAGAAGGCCTATTGAAAATCATTGTATTTAAAAAAAAAACAATAATGTCCTATAAACTGTGTAATTGTCATTGAAATACTTCTTAAATTACATGATTGTAAATTTTTAACGAAATTTGAAGTTATTTTTGATACATTTCAACAATGTTGCCATCGATAAATAATGCAGCAGACTCCGATTAGCAATGGCTAATATTAAACTGGAACGAATACGCGCGAAGATCTATAATTTAAATGAAACCAATGATAATATGGAAATGAAGTTTGGAAGAAAAGTAAAAGAGCGAAAATGATAACGAGAATTCTGCAAACATTTCAAAATACTACCGAGTATCGATACATACAATTATTCTCTACTGTCTTTACGCATACGTAAATGCTAGGAGATACGAAAATAGGTCGACGATAACTTCCGTCGATATAGTTTCCTAAAGAAACTTTACCAAAAGCCATTCGTTTACTGGGTCACAGAAATTTTTAGAACCACCCTGATTTAACGTCCCCAAACTAGTCCAAAAATAGAGGAATATACCAAAGGTTGTGCCTCGAGTGAAAACGTCAGAGTAAAGATCAACCTAAGCTGATAAGAAATTCTAAAAGAAAGTTGTACATAGATGTACACGAAAATTTGTGAATAAATAACATTGACGAAGTTATGTATAAAAATAGTGTTTTTATTTTAAGTAAAAATATAAGAGTAATAATTATTTTCACTGCTACATTTCTCAATGAAATTTATGGATATATCTGCAACTGGACAGTATCAATGAAAGTAGCACATTTTGTGCTGAGCATGTAATTCATCACTTTAATCTACGAGTTGACATGTCTTTGGTTGTGTTGAATGGAAACACTCGTAACTAGTTCCGTTGGTCTATTTCTAGATCTATTAAGAAATTCAAGCAATGTATTAATAACATCGTTGGTTGAGAACTGGAAACATTTCACGCGATCCCTTTATGATCATAAGACATAAAAAAGAATATAGAGATATTAGTAGTAACTGATTTCTGCTTTATTACCTTGAAATTAATTTTAAAACATGTTTTAAAAATAGATGTAAATAGGTGCACTAGATCCATTAGATAGCATATTTGAGAGGTTTTCGAAATTTTCTTGCAAGTTTTGATACAACGGACTTCAGCATAGACTGTATTTGATTAAGTTAGTTTCGTAAACGGAACACGTGGAAACCTTCGTACATGATTTACGATCCGTAAGAAGGTTTCCACGTGTTCCATCCAGACGAATTTTTTTCTTTGGTGGAAGAAATTGTGGCAAAATGACTGTACATCAGTTTACTACAATGTTATGTTTTCAAAAATTTACAAAATAGTTCACATGAACATTATTTAATCATATAATGAATTTTTTAACCTGTGCGCTAAACTACTGAAATAAAAATTCTTTATTCCTAACAATGTTTATTTTTTCTATATACTGTATTTTTTTAATTTGTAACTATAGAAAATTTTTGTAATACGTCCACGTTTCAACAATCATATGCGATGTACATTTTTTCGTGCCATGCATATTTTGGTTGTTATAAAGGTGCACAAGTTGCGTGGACCACCTGTACTGTATATGTAAATGTTTATGTAATATGTACACTCGGTGTTTCCTTAAATTTCAGCACATATTATAGAATCATAAAGCGAAAACAATAGTATAATTTGTATATAATACATATAAAAATCATTAATTTAACAATACTTACATTTAACCCGTATTAAAGATAACACTAGCAAAATTACTACCAATCGGAGATTTAAAAAATCACAACCTTTTGTGCATGACATAAATCTACATTAATCTTTATTAATGAAACAATTTGAAGTACCTACTACATTTGCAAATTTGTTATTTTGTATTTTGTGAGGTTTAACATTCTATTTATAATTTTACTTTATATTTTACTTCAGAAATATTTTTTCCAATTTTACGTGTCACATTTTTAGTTTAGAAATATGAGCAAATAAAATAATAATTGATCTTGAAGAAGGCCTATTGAAAATCATTGTATTTAAAAAGAAAAAAAACAATAATATCCTATAAACTGTGTGATTGTCATTGAAATTATACTACATTCGATTGTACATACATACATTGCAATACTACATTTGCAACACGTATTTATGTAACGCATAACCGGTGTTTTCTTCAACTTTAACACCCAGAGCGATATCGTCACGAATACCAAACGAACAAAAATTGGCCAGTAAAACAGTTGAATGTCACAGCAATCGCGAATGCATATCTCCATCCTGAGTCTCTATCTATCATCCATTAAATTTTCATCCGACGCGACCTTTTCAGAGAAGAAATTCCCGCGAAAGAGCCAATTCGTAACGCGGAAGAGCATCGCAAGGACAACTTTGCCCGCCATCGACGTTTGGAATTACTTTGAAACGAAACGGAATATAGGTCGACGTTTTACACACTACCCTGCTTGAATACCAATGCACCAGCTGCAACGGGAGGAATTCCTCCTGTATCTCCCGCAGAATGCAGGAAAGATTCCTCTTCTTACTTCTTCCCAACGCTCGCCATGGATCCCGTATTGCAGTTTCTCGTTGCACCAATTTTTCCATCCCTTTCCCGCCGATCGTGACGCGTAAAAATATCGCTGGCCAGCTTCCAAAAGCACGATCCTCGCGCGTAAACATCAGGGTTGGGCAAAATTCTTCACCAAATACAAATTTCGAGTAACGAATAATACACGAAGAATTGGCAGCGGATTGAATTCGTTTGGTATTAATAAAAATATAATTCTGGATGCTCGAGCTGGACACTAGGTGTATAAGCTTTTTTACGTTTGTAAAGGATTTTGTGAGATATTTTAATTTGAACTTGGTACATTGGATATATTTAATTCAAATAGATTTGATGTTACGTCCCACACTTTAGAGCCCCTTCAGTTATGCGAGAATTTGTTATTTTATATTAAAATATTTACTACGATTTAAATAGACTCGACGTTTCGTTTCATATTTTACGATCTCTTTAGTCTCGTTGGTTTTGGTGAGGTTAGTGTGCGATGTGTAAAGGTCAAAAAGTATGTCCTAATATTAATTGTTACTTTTATTTGCTATTTTTATTTTCAAATAGTATTTGTATATTTTCATATTATACGAGTTTTTAAGTACAAGTATTTGTTTTCAAACTACATCCACTTGAAGGCGTTCAACTTTTTTATGGAACCAAATGTTGTTAAGTCCCCTGAGAATTAGAAACATAATATTATTCTGAAAAGTTCAATAATTAATATTTATCAAACGAATTTGTTAATGTGCTTCTTAAAAATGTTTCCATTTTAACCAAATACCGTTAAATTTAAATGTAAATTTTGGAGTCATTAACGACTGTACAAACATTAATAATGGATTGACTAAACCATAAGTCTTATATATCATTGAGAATTTTGAAAATGAAAAAATGAAATTATCAATATTAAATATCATTTTTTTCGGACAAATTTTGTTACTTTGGAATGGTTTGAACTTTGCCGTTTTCCTCCTTTTTCCTCAGCTCGATATGGGTCGCCGAGACGCTGCCAAATATGGGTCGTCGAGACGTTGTGTATTCGTGAAACTTTTCCAATTTATTTACGATGTTTGTTGTTTTCCTTCGGAGATAAAATTTTATTTGATTCGGAAGAGATATCCGGATACGAAGGACAGACCTGACTTCAATTTTTATGGAGAAATATTTTCTTCTTCAAACACTGTGCAAAATACAAAAATGAAATATCACAATAAATGTAAAATTGTCTGTTTCAATAATTAAATTTGTCAGTGAGGCATTTCACTTTTCTGTAACTTTGATATGGTATTTAAATTATATTTTCGCTAAAAGTATTTCTGTTTTGTACATATTCCCAATATTTCTTTTATTAATAATATTTCAATCATTTTGTTCAAACTGTAGGACACGTGATTATATTAAAAAATATTAATATAAGTAGAAGTAATTAAAACCTCGGTTAGTTTTTAGTTTTGTTCTTAAATATTTTATATTCAACCAAACCCTTTAAGATGTGAGAGCAACTATAATATTCGTTCATAGGTACTTAGAATGTAATTTAGATATTTAGTGTAACATGGATTAATTATTACCTTCTTAAGATACAAACTCACAAAGCGTATAAATACTACACAAATGTCGGAAAATCGTTAAACTTTTAATTTTTAGAAATGTCGACAATTGCGTTAGTTAAACTTATGCTTACGATAAGACACTTACACTCCCCAAGCAGATGGTCGGGATCGTGTTCTATCAACGTTGACATTTCAGGATCCATAGTATGTCTCTGTCGCGACCCTCTTGCCGGAAGGGTGGAAACCCTTCCTAGCAACGGTGCTATATAAACATCATTATCATTTCATTATAACAATTTTCACAGAGCAGTTAAAGAACAATAAAGGCATTGGCCAAGCAAAGTTATGAAAGAACGAAAAAAGAAAAAATGCGAGTACTGTAAAGCGATGGAAGCCACGAAGAATGTTTAGAAGCATTCTCAAAAGAAGGAAGGAAGCAGCTAAAATTATCAACGAAATTTGTTATCATTACATAACGAATTGCAAACGCTCAAGAAATTAGTAACAGAGAATTATTTTGTTGAGATTCTAATAATTTACTATTTTAAATGTGGAGAGTTACAGTGGTCCTTCTTCGAACTTCAACAACAAACAAAAGTACTTTGTCCACCATAAAAGGACCAAAGAAAACGGTCACCAAAAATCTAGTTACTAGAATTAAAAAATGATTCTCTTCTTGTGGGAGTTGGCTTTAAAAAATGATTAACCCTTAAACAAATTGTTACCGTTTTCTCAAATTTAGAACACCACTGTTACTGTCTCAGATAAGAGCCGCAAGACACGGAAACGCGTCCGTAAGCCTATCTGTTTCGCGCTCTGCGAATCATCGTGAATGCAACTGCGTCTAGTTCGACTGTATCCACATGGAACTCACACAGCTAACGGTCCATTCATTTCCACAACAATAATCGCAGCGCTCACTCTGATTGAATTCGCGTCCATTCTCATCGCATTACTGTTATTTCCATCTGCATCGCGCTGTGAGAAGCAGTCTCGTCGACTTTGTATTCTAATTGGCAGCCGTCTTTTGTTCGATTTACGTATTTGTACTTAGAAAGCACACTCGCGTTTTTCTTTCATCTTTACTTATCAGACTTTAATCAGATTTCAATCGATACGTTTGTTGAACGTTTCGTAATTGTTCCACGTGATAAGGGAATCGTTGAAGAAATTGGGAATGAGTGTTTCGAAAAATATAAATGTAATTGTTGGACTCCACAGAGTGGTATCTAATTTGTTGGAGAATTAACACATAACAAAATTCATTGTTTTTCTTGCTGTCATTCATCCAAAAAAATTAATAAAATTAACAAGCACTTAGATAAGTGAAAGGAATAAAGAAGGTTTTTCTTCTTTAAGATTATTTCATTTTATCAATTTTTTATAGTTCATCCACAATATATACAACTACTATCTCTTTTATGTACATACAGGACAACATAAAAATAAAATTTCTACAGAATGATTGCAACATAAAATTTGTCTAAACCAAGACTTTAGAAGATACGAACACTTAATCTAGCAATAGTATGATCGAACACGAGTACATAAATGAATTCAAAGCTTAACTCTTGAATGTGACACACAAAAGAAAGAAACGAGTCGTTAAACTAATTCTCCGAAAGCATGTATCGAGTTCAAATAGAAATTCCACATGCAACGCGACGAAATTAACTACCTAAGAGGTTGTTTCAAGATTTCACGTGCGGAGCATCACGATCACCAATACTAAATTTCCCATGCAGAGGCGATAAAGTCGTCTTTCATTTAATCGCTCGGCACGTTCAGCGGCTTACTAAATATCCGCTCCCGTAACTTCCCAAGACGCGTCGAGACCCTTTCGATTCCTCTCCAACGAGCTAACTGGAGATATTGCATTTACATCCATTTACCTATTTCTGCAAATTTAATCCCCAATACAACTAATAATAATAAGTATTACTTAATAAGTACTACAATTTTCTTTATTACTTATTATTTATTCAATTAAATTCCATTAATAAATGCTCAAAATCTAATAATGTAATTTTCTTTACGCTTTATCACCGATTACAGAGAACAACGACTTTTCAATATTATTATTTAATTCATGGTTAGACTAATTATTGTACGAGAAATTCCTAGGTCTTGCGATAGTTTAACAATTATAAAGATATAGCATAAATTAAGAGCTGTAATTTTTGTATATTTAGCTTGTAGTAGCAAACATAAAGCAATATAAAAATATAAAAAGGGGCGTAAAGGTAAATTATTGTAAATTATTGAAATTACTAGCAAATTATTAAAATAATGCACTCAACATAGCGCAACAAGAACTTCAAAAATCCACTCTTCTCAAATAAATATAAAATAGCTCTAATTAAACTCGCGTCGTCGTTAAACCTTCGAAATAAAAGAATTGCCTATACAGGGTGTCCCAAAACTCGGGGAGGAGTCGGAAATGGGGGGTAGCTGAGACGATTCTGAACAACAATTTCCTTTGCAAAAATGTCGGATGGGGCTTCGTTAAGGAGATATTAAGCGAAAACCCCGACCAATCAGAGCGCGCGTAGACCGTTCGAGCGGCCGCGGTAGCGTAGGCTACGCGCTGGCGGCCGCGCTTGCACGCGAACAAGTGACTCGACGTGCATCGAAGCATCGACCTAGCGCGTAGCCTTCGCTACCGCGGCCGCTCCAACGGTCTACGCGCGCTCTGATTGGTCGGGGTTTTCGCTTAATATCTCCTTAACGAAGCCCCATCCGACATTTTTGCAAAGGAAATTGTTGTTCAGAATCGTCTCAGCTACCCCCCATTTCCGGCTCCTCCCCGAGTTTTGGGACACCCTGTATATTACTCCCAGGATCTAAATCAGCTACAAACCTACAACAAGTTAGAAGTTTGTCCATGATTATAGAGGTGATTTCACAACTGAATTCGGCTCGTTTCTCGCTCGTTTAAAGAGAGCCGTTTGAATACGTCGAGGAGAAAGGCGAAAAAGAAATAGGAAAAAAGGAAAGGGTGAACAAAGGCGCGGCACGTAACGAGGAAAGACCATCAACGATGTAACTACCATGTACTTCCTGTGAGGAGCGTACTCCCGCTGGCCGTACAAGGAGGTTGAGTCATGCGACAACGTAGGAGGAGCAAGATGGACCTAGCCCACTGTCCGATAAGACAATTCCGTCGCCAGTAACACGGCTCTCGACAGTTCTCTTCCTGGGATTTATATTAATAATTCCACTCGGTCGAAAGTATTCCACGATGGACAGGCAGGCTTGAACGTTGCACGAGATGCTTGGAAAATTGAATGAACGTTGCTCAATAATGGATTGGACTCGGTACATTCGCTGCACTCTATTCCTGTTTCGTTATTAATGGATAGTTTATTTTGGTATGATATGGAATCTGGAGCGTAGTAGCTGCTTCAATTGCCGGCGAATATAAAGGGAAAAGAGTCTAATTTAGTTTTGGATGTATAATCAAGTAATTGCTGGTAGGCGGTGGTTGGGAAATAGATTCACACGAGTTGTTTAAATTGATTTGTCCGAATGGAATTTATTTCATTGTATAAAATTCTAAATAAGACTTCGAAATACTTTATTTTGGAACAAGGATCGATCAACATTAATGTATTTTAATGTCTAAAACGTAATTCAAGAGATTTTGATTCTACATAATAATAAACATGCTCTTGCCATTCTCTATTCCTATTTCGTTATTAATGAATAATAAACGTGCTCTTGTCATTCTCTATTCCTGTTTCGTTATTAATGGATAGTTCATTCTGATATGATAAGATTGTTGTATGATTACAACATTGTTGTAAGTGTACTTGGCTTCCGAATCTTTGACTACTTTTGCATTACCCATTATTGATCATTTTTAATTTGCATATAATTTCTGTACGTAGATATCAGACTATTAATTGAAATGATCTATGTGTATTACTTGCGTGTACAAAGTTGTTACATAAAAAAATTAGTTATACGAATACTTTTTTGGCCCGCTGTACGTAATAATTCAGCGTGGAGGTCGAAAGCGTCTGAAATTTCGTCTGGGTACCGTCGTCGAGGCAGATTCGACTCGTTTTTCCTCCTTTTTCGATTATCTCATCGTTCTTTGGCGTCTGCAACTCTTCCGTGAGCCAGACTACCTTTTGCAAACGACAGATGCCGAGACTGGAATGAGTGAGAGTCTAGTAATCGGTGGACCGAAAGAGAAGTCGAAGACGCAGAAAGGAAGGAACCAGAAGAAGAAACCTCGGATGAAACAAAGCGACCATTACTCTCGTCCCCCAGCTGGCAGGATGGGTCGTAAAGTCATTGATTGTTATTGTACTCCTTAGAGCTGGAGAAGATATTACGAACAATTCCAAATAAAAATTCTTGACTGACGAATGAATTAGATATTCGTGTGACGACGAAATGGTTGACGAGGTGAGTTTAAGATTTATTTTAAACGTTTAACCTTGACGACGTGAGATCAAAGGCTACGTCTTGAACGACTGAAATAAGACACGTTAAAATAATAAACTTTCACTCTGAAAATAAACGAATAAACTCGTTTCTTTAAATGAAAACGACGGCTGTAAGGTTCATATGAAGAGAATACAGAATTAAATTCCTCATGAATCAATTATCTAAGTTAAATTTTACGTTAAGATACGTAAAATACGTTTAAGATACGTTTGAAAATTAATTGAAATTAAAATAAAAGAAATAATTCAAAGTAAATGAACCTTTCGACCATATCAATCACTGGTCTTCTTCCAAGTAATTTCTACAAGAATTTAATACTCTCCTTAATTAAATTTATATAAAACGACTAACTTTCGATAAATTCGTGCTACTTTCCAGAAAAAATTCTGTTTTAATTAAACAGTGTACGACTTTCGAATTGCATAAAAGTAAACAAGAATTAACTGTTTTCACTTGGAACTTAATGAAATTCCTAAAACATTATACATACATAGTAAACAAATACTTGTGTGCTCATTTGCTTTGCTCAACTTTCAACTATATGTATACAATACCAAACATACTAGCATATAAATAAAAAAAAAAAACTATATTCAGCCTCAGAACCTATTCCTAGTTCGTTCTAAAATTATTGAGAACACAGCGACCAAATTATTTGAACAAAAAGACTAAATCGGCGAGCAACTTCGATACACCCGATAGGATAAAATGCGCATTCCCAGCGAGGCCTGATCTCGATTAGGTTCCCTAACGAGTGTCGCTAGCGTAATTCGTACGGTTCAAGCGAAAAGACCAAACGTGTAAGTACGAGTTTAATCGAGTACGAGGCGAGCGAGCTGTTGCAGTCGCAATTAAGCAAGCCTATATCCCCGTGGTTAAACTATACCCTGCGTAACTAAAGCACAAGACCTTAGGATCGCGTTACGCTGGCCAGCATTGTCTCCTTGTGTTACCAAAACGCCAAGTACCCGTGTCTCTACTCTAGGGTCGCCTTTCTCGTTTCTCCCATCTCAAACTTGCGCGAGATGTTCTGCAACTCGATCTTGTTTCGAAACGATTAACAACTTCGTTAAAAAAAAATATATAAGTTATACATATATGTATATATATATACATATATAATAAAACAGAATACCTAGTGCATATAAGATTTCCATGTATAGTAAAGTATAGTAAGTACTATCTTATTAAAAAAATGTTTTCATGATATTTTAATCATTAAAGAATTAACGATAAACGCATATATATTTTGTTAATATGGCATGTATATATTTTATATTGAGAAATTGTAAAATGAAATAGATGTATGGGCAGTAATTTTCTGATCACATTTAGACCAAGAACAAATTTTATATATATATTACATGTTAATACAATTTTTACTGTACATATTACATTGCAAGTAAAAACAATATGCGTACGTGCATGCCATATATACGTAGTATGTAAGTAGTACGTATATCAATTTAGAATATTAAATTTTATGACTTATTCTCTCTGTATAATTTTGAACTACGTTCCTTTGACAAAAATATTGTTAGCTAGGATGGTTTGTCCACGAGTAACAAACCTTATTATAAATGCCAAAATAAATGTTTAAATGTGTCTGACAATTCCAAATGCTAAACTTGAACGATTCGACAATCGTCAACTATGAAACTTGTGCTCTGATAGAATATCATCCGCTCGATATTCTGAACGAAACATTTTCAACAATATTTTCTGCTGGATCACCCTGTATAACCGAACATGGCCACACTTCCAGCTTGGCCCAGTTGGACAACGATTTCGGAACGGAATCGCGGCCGACAGTGATTTTTAATTAAATATACGGACGTTTCAATTAAAATCCTCCGGTGTCGGCGTTTCTCGCGACGCTTTCCGCCCCTCTTCTCCCTCCCAACCCCGTGGTCCAACCCTTTGAAACTGCCTTCCGATTCATCATCTCTCGTCTCCGTTCAACGAGCACGCACTTTGATTGCTGTTTCTCGCGTTCCGATCCGTTTCACCTCTCGTTCAATGTTTCAGCAGATGTCGCCAGACCCAGATTCACCCTTTTTACTTCCATCGCGTGAAAATTACATCTCTGGCACCGCCGGTTACAACGTCGAAAAGTCCGGGGGAGGGAAACAAGGGGAAATGGAAATTTTCACGGGCGACTGGAAACGCTGATTGACTTTTGTTTAAATATTGTTCGAATAAAACTACTACGTAGATGTAACGGTTTCTTTTTGATATTGAGTAGTAACAGACTGTTTGAGTTGTAGCGTGAGAGTTATATTTGTGGGACAAAGATATACAGGGTGAGCCATTTAAAACAGGTCACCTGAGTAATTCGCTTATTTTCTCTCGATTTAACACACACGAATTTTTATTTATGGGGAAAGTTCAAACAAAATATAAACACTGTTGACTAATTTGCAAGCTGGAAATGCTCCCTTTACCCTCCTTCCTCCCTCAAACCAAGCTAAACGATGCAATAAGTAAGTTTCCGCAAGTCGATACGATTATTGAAGCAATTTCGTCGCCGATTGCAAGGAATTTATGAGTGCGTCGCGGGTTGGATCGACTTCGTAAACATGTCACCGTGAGCTACGTTCACGAGCAAAGTCGTGGCGTTATTCCATCGCTAATGAGGATATCCACCTCTTGTTTATGACGACATGACGCATCGCTATATATCAGGAGGCTCGTTCAGAGGCCACACTAATTATCACGATTGACTCGCGCTCGAACGTAAAATCGAGTTTCGGATGGGCAATTAAATACTTTCAATAAACACGTGGCACTTATGTTAGGCCATCTGTTCGCCAATGATCCTCCAGGGCGTGCTAGAGTTGCATCAGATAAAGGATGGAGCCTCTGGACCGTCATCATTTTTTGACGAGTTCTTTGCTTATCCAATTTCGCAAGTAAATTAGAAAGGACAGAGTATTTATTTTTTTGATCTGGTAGATATGCTTCAAAGAACAAGCATAGATTTATCATTTGATACGAGTAATCTCATTTTACGTAATAAATAATAAAATGAGTTTTATTTCCCTCTTACAATTATCACGCAGTATATTTAGTTTTTCTTTTAAATAATTTGCAATTAAATTTCCTAGCAGAACGCCAGTACCTATCATGTTACTACATTTATTTTCAATAAAGACGGAAAGTAATTAATGAACAAAATAAATAATATACTCTAGTGGAGAGTGTTACTATCTCTTCCGACATGTGGATCACCTTTATCAAATATTTTTAAACTATGATAACTCCAACTCCAACGTTTCTCAAATCAATACACACGAATCATTAATTACTCATGAAACTCTTAAAATTGTCCTAGCTCGAAAATCAATGTACTATGTACTTTATCTGTCAACCATTCCTCCTTAATGTAACCCCGAACGAAAACTCATTTCGTCGTTGAATAACCGACCAATCAAACAGCAAGAACAGTTTGTTTTCGCAAAAGCACTTCGAGCACTCGTCCGCGTAACAGGAATTTCATCGATGTCGAAACTTTCCGTCGTAATACTATTCGTTTCACGTTAAATCCTCAAGTGAAGTCATGCGAACGAAAATATAGACACACGTACACACGCACACGTGGTCAGGCAGTAACACTCGCAGGCATTTAATGACGCGAAACAAACAGGCTGCGGTTTTCATTTCCGCAAAAATACCGAGGACTTCGTAATTTGCGTGCTTTGCTGCTCGCCACTGCGATTAGTAACAATCCAATCGAAGCTGACAATGGAGTACCATGGACGCGTGTCCATGAGCGAACCTCGAAGCCAACTAGAAGCTGAACGGTTAAATAAATATAAGCACTCTTGACGATGCAAAACGTGCAAATGGAGATAAAAGCGAGAAGAAATTTTAATTACCGCTAGAACCATTGGGGCTGCAGTTATAAAATCCCGTATCACATTTAACGACACGGTGAATAATTGTACGAGTCGTTTTATATATTTATAGCAAATTTTGTTATTTTTATGGGATCGAGTATTACATTTAAGGACGATTTCGCTCTAATTAGAATGTACTTCGCAAATATTGTAGCAGGTCTTTGAACTATTGTAATTATTCTGAGAATAATGTTTCCTGTATGTACAGTGTCAATAATTATTCGAACGGTAATGTACTCTAATTTATATACCAGTAATTCAAGTATTTCTTATAGTAATAACTTAAAAGTGTCAAGTAAGAGAGATCTGTTCCAAACTTATTTGAGGATTGTTCACTGGAATACTATGGATTTTTAAGTGTGTTTATTGTTTATTAGAAATTACGATAACGAGATATATTATCGTTCAGAGTAAGTATTAGTTTGATATCACATATTGTACTAGTTACAATGTGCTTCTTGATAATAAAACGAATAATATCCATTTCTCTGCTATTTTTATATTTATGCTATATTATTTTGTCCTAAGTCGCAAACTTGTTCGAATAATTACGAACGGTACTATATTTGATCATAATTTTATAATTTTGTTCATAATTATAGCACATGAAACCAACAAATTTATGAAAATAAATATTTAATCTTTTAATATATAATCTTTCAAAGACCATCTACTATGAAAAATTTATCGTGTTATTTCTTGTTCCTTGTAACACAGCACTGTACAAAAACTTGATTAACTAATCGTAAGTAATGTTTATTAATTTATACAAAATACATATACTAGAGATTAAGAATTGAAATAATTTTTAATATAGATAATTTGAACAAATATTTAGACAATCTAAAAGCGTGACGTTTCAAAGTGAAAAATGAATCTTTAATATTCTTCTATGCCCCGTGAAAACGAGTCAACGAACAAGTTTCGCAGAAGTATAATTCATTTCGATCCCGTGTCAGTGAGAATGATTATAGTCCTGAGATTCATTCAAAGAATTCTTTCTGGTATTTGAGCCAGAATATTTTACTATTTTCTTAATAAAAAAAATTAAAAATCAATTCGAATAACACAATTGTTAGATAATTTAAGTAGGCAGGTCCTTTTTATACTACATTCATCGCAAGCTCAACGATTCTAGTGTGCAATTAATCATACGATTCATCTCGAAGTTAACCCCCTAATTTCCACTTGTTACCGTCGTTATAAATAACGATAAAAAAATTCGCAATATTTCCCGCAACAGCTCAATACTTTCCCAAACAATAGTTCCGGAAAAATTACGCAGAAAGCAAGCAAAGGAAGAAGCTGGGGTTTTCCAACTTACAAACACCCTCCGAATCGCTATCCTCCTTGCTACTCAAGTCCAAATGATTCTTCTTCCTCCGTCGTATGATGGAGTTCCACACTCTTTTACGGCTCATTTTCACACCGTTTATAGATACCACGTTGCAACACACCCCCGCAAACCACCACTAATATCCGCGAAGACAATTCCGGTCGATGATATTCGCGCCTCTAGAATCACGTGTCGCGCGCCGATGGCCCGAGAATGTGGGTTAATCGACTCTTCCTCTCGGCGAACTGTTCGTTATCGACGCCTCGTTATCGAATAACAATTAGCGATTTCGCTCGTTTAAATAGGCGACAGAGATGGGCAAATCAGTAATCAAATAACCGACGAAGATTAAAAAGACACGATAACCTACAGAATAGACATTCCATTTATAATATAATTTTAGTTAATGTGAGAAAGCAATCCATATGTGTTCAGTTTGATTCGACCGCCGCGATGTGCGTAGCAGACTATCGTCTTTTGCTCCTTACTCTACGCACGTCCTCGCGAGGTTCCTTTAGGTTAGTCCACACCACGAGCCGTTACCACTAACATGTGCTCGATACGTGTATTCATATTCTCGTTAATTAAATATACTTGTCCAACTTACGTGGTGTTATAATCCTGTCAGTTAATAATTTGTTCTCTGAAAGCTTGAATACCTCAGAGTTCACTCCTCCAAAATTAAATTACCATTTCTACACCCCAAATTCTAAATCTTATGAAACAAGTGCCGAACACAACTTCGATTATAATTTTTATTTAACGAACACAAAATTTTGTCATCCGTAGCTCGAAACTGGTATCTAGAGAAAACCGTTGCCCATCTCTGGTCGCGATAAGGCCACCGCCACGAAATTCAAGCCACTCAGATGGTCCTAGCGGGAATCCTTTCAATAGAATCCTGCGGCCGGGTTCTCCAGCATCGCGTATCTCCAAGTCCGTCGATCGACTCGCGCCTCTGGCTGACTCGAGCCGCGATTAGGCGATCCACGAGTCCATAATTAGTTCGCTGCTCGCCTTGGAGAGGTTCTAGCTCGCTACCAAGTCCGAGAGTCGACGCTCGGGGAGAGGAAGTTCCGTGGACGATGTCGGCGACCGAACTAGCGTGCTGCTCCAGCGAACTGGACAGTAGAGAAACGGTGACCTAGCACACTCGCAGAGCTTTATCCAGTCTGATTTCGCAACCGACGAGATCGTCCGGCCTGTTCGACGGCGTGAACGCACTTATATCGTTTGCTGGGAGCCAGGAGGAAGACGAGACGACGCTTTTATCGCATCCGGCGCCCGAGGACTCTTTCGTTGAGGACTGGAACGCGCTTTAACCTTTCCCGCCAATCGGCGGTTGAGAAATCGGGGACGGTGGGGAACCGCGAGTCATGGAAAATCGAGCGAAACGGTTCTTGGAGAAGGATTTACGCGACCTGGAAAATCGGACCGAGTGGGGAACTAGCGCCTAACGCGGTAGACTTCTGGCATGTGACAGAGACACTCTATATTCTGCAGTAACAATTGTTATAAAGATTGAGGTATTTATAGATTTTTCTACATAAGAACACCATGAAATCATCTCGATCGGTTACTCGTTGCCGAGTTAGATCAAAGAATAGGAATTTTGCAATAACAATAGTTATAAACATTTAAAAAGACCATAATTTATACGCTTCCTTACTCCTGTATAAATTTGTTTATATTATACCTATTTAACGATGTATAATATATATTCTTATAAGGAAATAGTTAAAAGAATGGAACCTATTTCCTATAAAAATATGCATAAAATTCCGCAGTCTAGATATAATAGAAGAATATCCAATGTATGATAATTAGACTGCGGATATTTATGGATTTATAGGAATTTTGAATGTGCAAGAAACTACAGTACGCAAAGAATATGCACGAACGTGAAAAAGATTGAAAGTAAAGTTCATGTTATAATGTTTGCAGAATAAAATAAATTCCTATTTAGGTTCAATTTGTTGTAGGCATTTAAACAAAGACTTCATTTTGCATAAATATCCGCAGTCTAATGATAATATACGCGAAATAAAAAATCAACCGACCACCTTGAAGATCAGTTTAAATGACAGGAGGTGCATATTAAAAATTATAAAAATGTTGATAATATTTTGTAATCTAAAGACACTTAGAGACATTACTGTAATCCGTAAAGGTTTACGTTTTGTCTGTTCAATTCTCGAGCAATCACAGCAGAGATATTATACGGCTTCAAAAATTTTCGGTGTCGATTATACGTTTGCATAACACAAGAGTAACATTCGAAAGTGCTCTCTAGTTTGCTCTTGATACTCCAGGAGAATTAAGTTCTCGCCGCGTTACGGTGCCTCGTTTACACTCACGACCTTAATTTTCCCTATTGTTCGACGGCTGTAATTTTACACGTCTTGCGAGCCTCGCTAATTCCACAGCCGTTGGTTCATCGGGATGTGGAAAAGAACGCAAACTGTATTTACCCGTGTGAATTGCCGCAGGGAATTAATGAGTTTGACGGGACTTTTACGCGCAAACTCTGCTGAAGAGTTACGATGAGCTGACCGTGACACTTACTGAAGGAAACGGGGAGTATACAGTACAAGTGATTCGAGACAATGTAGCAAGTTCTAGTTTTTTTTATTTTTATTTCTTTTTTTTTTAACGCGTTGGTCGTCACGTCACCCAGATATAGGTAACAGGACTTTTCGTTAAGAAATGAAAAACATTAATTCCGTAAGTGAGGTAGTAGTGAAAATAAATCTGGATACGATTTGTAAATTTGGCGAGATTAAAAAGTTAAATACTACCACAAATATTGGCTCGTATTACGTAAGTATAAAGTTCTACATCCCTCTCTAGCGATGCACACGAGACGAGACGAGACGAGATTTCTACGATCTCGATCTCGATCTCGACAAGATTTTGACAAACCTGGCAATACACTTAAAGATATGCCAATATCTGTTAAAGTTTTTCACCTCAAATAGAATTACATTTCGCCAGAAAACGTAAATATTATTCTAAAATTGGAAACATGGTTTCAATTTTTAAGGGAAATAAAGAAAAACCGCTGATAAAAAACATTTCTAAGCCTCCAAATTACGTTTATATACCGAGGTATTTCTCTTCGTTAATTTATACGTGTTAATTTATACATGCACAATATTTCATGTTTTATGTTACATTACCGAATTGTGCACGATTCATTTTGCTCCATTACTGTTACAACATGAATATCTATGAAATTAGATTGTCTATTTATATAAACACGACAGTGTTTATGTGACAGTTAAAATAAAGCAAGTTGACAAGAATTACTTATCGTACAAAAGTACTAAAGAATTGAATTATCAAATTTTTCCATGTGTGAATTTAGTTATTTCTCATTTCGAAGGCACCGTGTATGCGGCTCTTCCGCGCGGGTTTCTCCGCAGAAGCGGAAGCTGGCGCTGTCAGAGTGAAAGTATAGATTGAATATTTGAATTATGAATGCCGTTGATACATGAGGAAATGCGTGTTATTTGTAATTACTTCATGATGTAATTTGCTCTCCTGATAAAAATGTTTCTTTCGTTTCCTTACTTTTACTTGGCAAACCTTCATTATGATTGATCTTATTTTCATATGTATTAATTCTTCAGCGAGTGTTGCGCTACTTTGAGAAATATAATTTCGCGATAGTCAACGAAAACATTATTTATCATTGCCTTCCTGTAGTTAAGTAGGAAATATATTCATAGGAATTGAATATTCCTTCTATTGGTTTCCATGCAATTTTCTCAACCACGTGTAGTGTTTATGTCTTTTAGAGTTTGGTAAAGATTTAGACTGTTTTTAAGAACGTATTTATTTTTAATCTGCATCTTAAAAGTCTTGAATGATAAATAATAGAATTAAGTATAAAGTTTATGCAGATATAAAAATTTTCATAGATACACGAACATTTACATTTAATGTATTACTTATTAAAATTGATTCGAATATCTTGTGATTTTTACATTATTAAACTGAGACACTTGAGTTTAAAGACTATCCTCTTCACTTCTACTATACTTTACATGGAATTGTAAGACTCTATCTTTGTATCATCATCAGCAAGCGTAGCATTTTTCTTGCCTCCCCCAGAGACTTGAACACTACTGCGCCAAGCCCTTGTCTTACACTCCAATAACAGTATCTAATCTAGTGAAAACACACAGGGAAATGATTAAGGAAAAATGACCCATGTACAATAGCTAAAATCAAGATTAAAAGCACTTGCAATAATCGCGATTTTTTTAATATCCGAAGTAACCAATCTATAGTTTAATAACTGTCTTCTGCATGTCTATTATAAATTATAATTTATATCTTTTCTTCTTTCGTTATTAGGTGGTTATAAGTTAGTCTCGTATGACGTACACATTTTTAATCGGATTATTAGAATTTGTTCTCTTCTTGGCAGAGAAAAGTCAGAGCCGGGTAATAAGAACTTTAGATATAAAATGTGCAAAGTGTAAAGTGTTGAAGTGTAAAGTGAGAATAGATTTACATTAGCAAGAATATAATTAGTTTTCAGAAAACTTCATTTGTATAAATTATGTATTAACATTGATATATTTTTATTGCAAAATGTTAGTCAATTTTCACAACAATTTCTATATTTAAACTACAGGTCAAACTACAAAATACGTATTTTCTGAAATGTTGTTTTCTTGCATTACATAAAATTATCCTATTTGTAATGTACTTGCATTCTGTGCGAAATGGAATCATTAAACTCGTATAATCTGAGAACTGCAAAAATTGTATATCGTTTTTAATAAAACAAAGGTGTGTATTATAAGTGTTGATATTCAATTCTTTAGTGATATATTCCGAGTAATTTAGTAATATATTCAAAATGTTTGCATATTTTGAACTGTCGAAAATTCGGGATCGATATGCATGTTCCGACATTTTTTCAGATCAAGATCGAGATCGTAGAAATCACGTCTCGTCCTTCTAACACAATCTAACATTTCCTTTACATTTCCTGACAGCTCCTAATACACACTAACAATTTCTACCACCCTCTAACACCTTCAGACACTCTCTATCGTCTCCAAACATTCCCTAACACCTGCCAACCCCCCCTAATATCTCTTAACAACTCTTAAGGGTTCCAGATAGTTCCCTTTATTTCTCTTCAATTTCTAGAATGTTTCCTATTAATTTCCCTTCTTTCCCTGGCACATCTCTTCGCTGTTCATGAGATCCGGATGCAAACGGTAAGTTTCGAGCCAGAATAAAAATTATGATACTTTCACGATCAACACGTTCTGCTAATACAATAGGTAAGTATCGATATTCAATTAAAAGTCATGCCAAATTTTTATTCTGGTATCAGGCGAACATGATATGCGAGGAGGTGGTACGAGGAATTCATGGTACGTATCGAAATTTTGAGAAAATTTTACATTTTGGTATCAGGAGAACATGATATGCGAAAAGGTGGCACGAGCAATACTAGGTACGTATCGAAATTCTGAGGAAATTTTACATTTCGGTATCAGGAGAACATAATATGCGAAGAGGTGGCA